GAAAGTACAAAAAAAAAAAAAAAAATGGTGCATACATCTATTAGGATAGGGATTCTCAAACTTTTTTGTCAGCCTGATTTGACCTAAAATATTTAGTTTAAGTACCTCCTGAGAATTTAAGTTAATGTTTCAATAACTTAAAAACACATTTGCATGTTCACAGTTCTCTGTTGCCAGTTAATGGTCACATGCCATGCAACTAAACATATAAAATATTTCATATTCTTTTAGCAAGTGTTTTGAATTCAACTGAATTGAATACTTGCGATTGGTCAAAAACAGAAGAGGACGTGAATGGTTAAAGACAAATGTGGCATAATTGGTTAGATGTGGCTGGTTATTTTGTAAAACGTATAAGTATCTGGATACATCCATTTATTAAAAATGTTTCACTACTCATCTAAGTGACTTCATCAGCCGTAGGGAGCAGGTGAAGATTCCCCCACACTTAACCTCATTTCAATCTGTAACATCACAAGACTCACAAATTACTGTGGGAGTTGCTTGCTTAATGGTGTGAATAGCAATGTCATATGCGATGTGATGAAACTTTCATGTTTCACCATCTGCTTGCTTGCTGGTTTGCCACTTCAGTAAGACAAGTCTTCAATGAAAAAACAAAACAAAAAGCATGCTCCAAAATAAATTCCATTTCATTTTATCATGACCTGGATGTGAGGAAGAAGTTTAGATGTTGGCAAATGAGTATGCAGTGCAGACTGACTGGTTTGTGTGCTCCGTGTGTCATCCTGTGGGGTCAGATCCTCAGCCTCGGCCAACAGCTCCTTGGTGAAGTTAGAGGGGAACATCCCAGTTCTGCCACTGAGAGTGCCTTCCCACCATCCCTCCTCCACCTGAGCGAGCAAACACACACAGAAGCAGTTTTAAGAACTACAAATAAACAAGAGGTTCTACATTTGAAAAAAAAAAAATGATAATGTGACTAGGATGATCATGCAGTACCCACCTCTCCCAGAACCTCAATAACATCTCCGATCTTCAGTTCTAGCTCATCTTCATTCTGCGGAGTGTAGCTAAAGACAGCTTTGCAACGCCTTTTTCTGAATGCTTCACCTGTTTACATGAAACATGGATAAATTATGATAAATAATGTTTGTAATCTTTCAAAAGTTTGGGGTCAGTAAGAATTTTAATGTTTTTGAAAGAAGAAGGGATGTAACGATGCACCCTGAGCCGGCTGAATATCGATACAAATACGTGACGATTCAAATCGGTTTAGATGTTAAACAAATCGCGATACAGCTGGAGGTAGGAGTTTATATGAATGTATCTCTGAGGGGAACTGACTGTCTTCAGAAAAGTTTACATGGTATTTTCTTCACATCTTGCCTCCGAATAATGCATATTAAACTGTTTGTTTACAGCTGTATCCAAGGAAACACGCTGTATTACTGCTGTTCCATAAGTGCCACCTGCTGGCAGAGAGTGAATTTGTGTTTTCATTCAGCACGCCTGCTGTTTCTGTTTCGTGTAGATATGTTTCATGTAGTATAGTTTCACAAAATTAAAGTCAGCTCATTCTGTTTTTGCTTCAAATTTCGAAATTATACAATCTAATTTAGATTAAAAACTGCTCATGCTGCATGTATGTAGCATCTTTGTTTGGATCGTGATTACAATACAGTGATTGCCTCTAATTTTAAACAAAAAAGGGCATAGGTTTGTTTATATGAAGAGATTTATTTTATTTGCGTTGTTCATTTATTTGATTTGGTTTGGTTTGTTTTAAAAATTTCAATTTAGTTTTTTTTTTTTTGACATATTTGAATTTCACACAGAAATTTGCAGCATTTTGTCCAAGCAATAATAAAAGGACACTTTTTCATTTATAATTTGTCTTAAATCTCATTTTGTAAAAAAAAAAATAGTGAGAAAATCGTATCGTGAAATCAGTATCGTGAATCGTATCGCATCGTGAGTTGAATGAATCATTACATCCCTAGAAAGAAGTCTTTTATGCTCACCAAGGCTGCATTTATTTGATCAAAAGTACAGTAAAAATAGTAATATTGTCAAATATGTTTACAATTTAAAATAACTGTTTTCTACCTTAATATATTTTAAAATGTAATTTATTCCTGTGATGGAAAAACTGAATTTTCAGCAGCCATTTCCCCAGTCTTTAGTGTCACATGATCCTTCAGAAATCATTCTAATGCGCTGATTTGCTAACAACATTTATTATTATTATTATCTATATTGAAAACAGTTGTGCTGCATTTATACATTCTAGCACTAGATGTCTGTCTTCTCTTTACTAAACATTTAGCTACAAGTTTTGCTCCAAGACTACTCACTAAACACATAGACCTCTGTGGCTCATGACAACAAACAGCCTCTGACAACAGATACCCAGTTTCAGTTCTCTACAGAATGGAGAAACTGGGCAGTCCAGCTCTCACCTACCGATATTAATATCTTGATGCCATAAAGCACTGACAATGCCAAAAGATTTCAATACTTAATAGCCTGGAGAAAACCAATGAGACACACATACAGTATTTTGACTCACTTTTCCTTTGGAAGCCAACATCTCTATCTGCAAAACAAATTAAAGTCACATGAACGAACACTAGCACTGTTGTCTGAAAATCAGGTGATATAAATTAAGGGCTGTAAACAGAGCTCGTGTTTCAGAAACCGGCTGAGTATCTGTCCCATTTAAAATAAAATAGTGAAAATAGTATCTGGCAGATCAGTTTGTATTTATTTATTTTTTAAATACATGTCTGTGACCTTAATTATTTACTTAATTGTTTAATTATGTAAGTGATATTAATCATTTAGCAAACATACTGAATGTCATTATATCTTCACATGATTACACAGTATGACTTAAAAGTGAGTCATTTTTATAAGATCAAAGTAAGTGTCCTATTGTTATGTTTAAGTATTTTTTTATTGTGCATTTGTACTTAATTTAATTTGACAACATTCTCAATTCAACTCAAATCTGACCAATCAGAAGATTCACAGTGGCCCTAAAAAGACAGCATGTGTAGTTTCTGTAATTATTAGAGTAAGAGAGATTTAATAATGTTTAATTACGCATCACACACCAAAAGGGTCTGGCTGCAGCTTGGCGCTTGCACTCTCAGACGTGCATTCTCAGACACTTGCACTTCCGCTAGCGACGTCACTTGCAGGCTTTATTATTTTTTATTTTGTTCTATTTATTGATTACTTTTTGTTTGAATCTCTCAACATTTTACAACAGTAGCCAGGTGGTGAAGACAAGAAAAAATAAACTAAATTACGAAGTCACTTGCAATCGCCACTTGCACTCTCCGATACCTGCGACGTCACTTGCAATCGACACAAATCGTGCGTGTTGCCAATGGAGACAAGACGCTGTGGTGCTGATTTAATTATTATTTATTTATTTATTTAGTCAATTATTAGAGGCTTTTATCCAAAGCGACTTACAAATGAGGACAACAGAAGCAATCAATTGTAGTATTAAAACAACTAAAAACAGATCCAAAACTAAAAGCTAAAACTTTATAAATACTACCTATACACATTTTAAAAAGAAAGAGATTAAATAAAAATGGCAAATGCATACAACAAAATTTCAAAACTTAACATTTAAAAGAAAAACAAAAAATAAAGCTAAAAACAATTCAAAATATTAAAGAACAAAAGGTATAAGAGTATAATAATGATTCTAGATATAAAAGAGCTGTAGACAGTTTATTCTATATGGAAAAACACTTAACGCGAAACTGTGTGTGTTGCATTTATTCTGGGCTTGCTTGCTTGCCTGTATATTAGTTATGTAGCTATAGGCTATATTTTAATAATCAAGAGCATTGAGTTTGGTCTTTATCATCTTAGTCCATTATGCCACATTATGCCACGTTTTGCGGTGTGGGAGGAAAATACTATATACATATTCATTATATTAATAAACTGTATATTGAATTATGTAATTTTCTGTAATTTTAATAGCATCTTAATACATTACGCCATGTTAAGTGTTTATGTTTTTCTACAGGAGGAAAACGCTTAACGAGAGACTTTGCGCATTGCGTTAATATTCTGCTGTTCTGTGGCCACGGATTTGCGGGTCTTGTCTTTTTCTTGCAGGACCCTGTTATTGTACTAAATACTTATACTTGTATAGTACTTTCATTAGTTTTAATAAGTATTGCTTTTTATTTCTCCTCTTTCCTATT